TCTCTTGAAGCCATATTTCTCATTATTATCAGACTTTATATCTCAGCTATGTAGGAAATAACTCTCTTGAGGTGTTCTGTAAAATGACCAAGAACATGACCATGAGTAAGATAAGTAGTGTTAAGTTTATGGACTTTACAATATTAAAATACAGGATTCCATTCCTTTCAGTGGACGGATTGTGTAGATTCCAATTTTTAGCTGTGTGCTAAAACATATAAAGAAAGCTAAGTATTATATATTGAGACAAACCTTACTAATTCCAAGAAATCACATTTTAATTTAGAATTTAATTATTTGATGTGTTGTTTATTAGTACTAATATTGTACAGTAGGTTGTAATAATAAGATATAAATATATTTAAGTTGAATCATAGTTTTCAGGTCTAAGATCATCTTACGTAAATACCCAAAATAGCATCATCTGAGAAATACTAATAAATTAAAAAATGTATTTTGGCTACAGACTTTGGTAAATTTTTTTGCATGAGAACTTGTGAAAAATAAAAATACTGTTGAAAAACAAGGTTAAGAGATTAAGAAGAATATTTTATTACATTATCAAAATTAAGTAAATATAAACTAGTAAAAGTTCAGTTTAAATTGATTTTTTATTCTCCCCCCACTCATCAGGAATTGGAGATTCAGCTGCGTTCTCACGGTGTGCATGTCACAGAATCCACTTGGCAACCATCAAAAGAGGCTCATCTGAACTCCCTTATAAAACAGGATCCTCTTCCACCAACGTTGCTTATCAGTAATCTGGGAACTGGCAACATATGTTCCCATCTTGACGAGAGGAACCATTTGTCCACGCTGGACATGGGCTTGCTAGGACTGAATGTCAAGCAAGAATCACAAGTTAGCCCTGCCCCTAGCACAAGTTCTGGGCTAGGTTCTCTACAAAGTGCAAGCCCAGGTCATAATTTTGGTCAGTATGATGATATAATAATGGATGACATGCCTACCATAAATAATGACCCTCTGCTGTCGTCTCATCATATGGGAGATGAAGCTCTCTCAACAGATCACATGGAGTACCTTCAGTGAATAGTGGCACCACGGAAACTATAATCACTCGTTCATCAATGACTGCGAGAGAAACCAGACTGTAAGCTTTACGTTTGACAACAAACTTCACATATTATTCAGATGCCATATTTTTTTTCTATCCTTGTTATCTCAAAGATAAGACAAACAACATTTTGTTGAATGTAAGTTGCTAGTCTCTGGTGGAGAAGTCGGGTTAACTGAGAATTCCTTTACTGAATGTTTTCAGGGGAAATTAGGAGGTTCATAATGAGTGAACAATGAGAAAATTCTCGAATTCTGTATTCCGATGCGGAAGAAAAGTGGTGTATTTTCTACGAGCTAGATATGTAAATACAGAGCTTTGTTTTTCCGAGATGGAAGGTATCCCAGCCTATTTCGATGATATGATTTTGTTATAGTTTTATGAGAGATTTAGTAATGTTTTTTTAGATAAAAACATAATTAATCTGGTATATTAATAGATGTTAATATAAAAGATAATTCAATATAACATTACACTACTAGTCTAGAAGTTGAATTGAGCACTGGTTGGAAAGCAACTTTTTCGTCTGGCTTTACGGCCGTGTAACTCTCTCAAGTTTGTGTAT